AGCGGATATATTGGCAAAAAAACGCAGATTGTGAGGGGAATACGGAATACCGAATACCATACACAGATCTCGAATGTATTTTTAAAGCAGAAGAAAAAAGTAACACCGTCACAAAGATGAAAAAACAAACCGAAGAAATTGGAAAAAGAAAAGGAAAAGGCGTGCAATATTTCGACAAATATTACAAAGAATCATTTCGACCCTGGTACCAGGGAAATAAATCATCTAGAGAACTCATTGTCAGAGTAAATAGAATAGCGGACCATTACCACCTTAACGCCTCACTCGAAAGAATGAGAATAATCCCCGATGCAAGCTTCACCTGCGGGGCAGAATCACATGACATCGACCACATACTATGGCAATGTCCTCTTCTGAATTCCCAAAGATTCGAACTATTGGCTAAATTGAGATCTCTGAAATATTTCTCTCGATACTGGACCTTCCATTTTATGGTGGCAACCGACTCCGAAGCTCTTACAGCAATAGATAAATTCTTTACAAAATGTAACCTTCAAATTTAACCAAAATGTAAAAGAAAAGGGTAAAAGGAAAAAAAAGCAATGTAAAAAAAGTAACTGTATAAGATCTCACCGACAGTGTAAATAACCCTCATATGGATCCTGTACTATAAACCAATAAAAAAAAAAAAAAAATGGTGCGGTGTTCGGGGTTACGGGACATATTTCACCAAAATGTGAGCAATATTTGTCAAATTCGTAGAAAACAATTGACAGACTACAGGGAAATTATCAGTCTGATAATTTTCCTGCAGCCGGGGAAATTATCAGTGTGAAACGTGTCACGTGACCCCGAATACCGCACTCTGATTGGTCGAAATCAGAATTGAGGAAATTGTCACCTATAACACCCCAAAATCTTAAAAATTCATTGCATATATATCTCCTCAAGTGTCCCTGCAAAGAAACAAGTGTGTCAAGTTTTGCAGAACAAGCCATCAGGCTGCGCACTCGCGATTTTTAGGCCGCCCAACTTGACACCTTCATTTATTCACAACGAAGCTTTCGGGAAATATCCGATAACTTTGAAGGTTTCGGGGTGTACAACTGATAATTCACCGGGCCACAAGTGAGTTATCAAACTGATAATTCCACAGTAGCCTATCAATTGTTTTCCTCTATTTCGACAGACATTCCCCACATTCCCGAGTGGAAATTCCGGTCAGGTCTTGATCAGACATGTTACGCCTCTGACCAATCCGGATTTGATCAGGACGAATGGATCCGAACTTGATCAAGTCAACCGTATGAAAACCGGATGACCTGTCTGTCTGTGTCAATAACAATTATCAATGATAACTAATTCAAAACAAAAGATAATTGAATTCTTTCACCGTAAGCCGCCTCTCTTAATGAATCTCTACTGTTATTACCTCTGAAAAAGCTTATTATTCTTTTACCGATACTGGGGATCGAACCGGGGACCCTATGATTGCTAATCCTATGCCCTAACCACTACGCTATCACGCTATTACTATTGAGTAAACTGTACATTGCCTATATGATTTGTATCGGGGTATTCGTTGAATTTACGATTATTCCTGATCTCGCGGATGTGCGTGTCTATTCTCAGAGATAAAATATGTTCAATTAAATTTTTATTTATTTCATTAATGAATACTAATAATGATAATAACAATAACTCTAATAAATAAATAGACATTTGGTGATTTTTTTTCTCAAGATCATTTGCGTGTAAATTTGATATTCCTCTAATACGTATTTACGACATCATCATCCCTCCCTTCTGTACATTTGAGAAGGGCTGGCTGTTAATTAAATTGATTAATTGAATTAAATTAATTTAATTTATTTTAATTATAGTATAATGATTCTTTTTCAAGATTGAAATAGTTATTTTCATCACAAGGTCCACAAAGTATTTTCTGACGAATGTGGCTTTGTAGGCCGAGCCGAAGGCGAGGCCTATAATCACATTCGTCAGAAAATACTTTTGGACCGTGTGATGAATGCAATTTTTCGTCAGAAGGCCCGTAAACCGCGATCAAACCGAGCGAAGCGAGGTTAGAATTGCGGTTTACCGGGTCTTCTCACGAAAATAATTATTGATAATGGTTGATAAAACTTAATTTGAATAGTATAATAATAGTTAATTAAATTATCTGATAAACTTACTAAAGTTAATGTCAAGTGGACCGGATTTGAATCTGATCATTTTCTCTTCAATTGACCCCGTTCAAATTCCGATTAAAGACATCAAATCCGAATTTGATCAAATTGGGGTCAGGCAGCCGACCTCAGGGTGAGATCGTGCCTACCTGATCAGAACTTGATCTGAATCATCCTGCAGTTTTTCGGATCCGATCTACTGGATCAAAACTTGGTCAGGTTCTCATCAGGCATCATCTGATCAGGTCTACTTGATCTGAACCCGCCTGTAGTTTTTCGGATCCGATCTGCTGGATCAGAACTTGGTCAGCTTCTCATCAGAAATTACCGGATCAGTCGAACCTTACAAAAACCTGATCAAGTTCTGATCATGCTTCAGGTGGGCCTGAAGCAATTTCCACTCGGGATATAATGGTGAAAAGTGTCACGTACTTCCAAACACCGTACTGTGTCCGTCCAAAATCAGAATTGAAGAAATCATTTCTCTATATTGTAAAAATCCAAATTGTGTTCTGGTGATAAAATTTTCGTACTCGAAATTACGACTTCAAAATTAAGAGTCACAAAGGTCAAAATACGGGTCATCAGGGCCCGAACAAAGGTCATGAGGGTTACAATAAGGGTCACGAGAGTTAGATCCGAGCAGGACTTTTTGGCGCCAGCGTTTTGGTGCGACCATTGCCGTGTTCAAGTCACGCCAAAAAGTCACGTACCCGATTAATTAAGGGTCATAAGGATCAGAATATGGGTCACGAGGGTCAGATTAAGGGTCACAATGGCGGAATAAGGATCCACATAGGGGTCACAAGGGTCAGAGGCTCATATGGGTCAGATTGAGGGTACCTTGGCCGAAATTTGGATGGAAAAATTCTTTTCCGAATACTATTCGAGTTTAAAAAATAATTAGGTATTTTCCTCAAGGTTTCCTACATACAAACCAACTTATCGTTATGAGGTGTAGTGGTGGTTCCCGTCACGTGGGACGGGAATTGACGGGAATTGATGGGATGTGATTAGTAAGTAACTGAGAATTTTGAAGCTCTTGTGGTATCACAGACGATAATTTCTTCAATTCACCAAAATGTGGAGAATATCTGTCAAAGTCGTTGGAAAAAATTGATAGGCTACAGGCTACACTCGTTTCTTTGCATGGAAATGTCCATTGAATTTTGAATATAGAGTTTGACAGACTAACACATTTTTGAAAAACTTGACACCTTCTATTTGTTTCCAACGAAACTTTCCGGAAATATCCGATAATTTTGAAGGTCTCGGGGTATTACAACTGGAAATTTTCCCGTCCCTCAAATTTGGAGATATTGATAAAAGACTAATTCATCTTTTTTTCACCAATATTCCCGAGAATACTCCATAATTCATAATTCTGCAGCGAAATCTCAATAGATCTTTTCTCTTTCCGAGGAAATTTCCACGAAAAAAAATGTCTTCTCCGATCAATCATCACTGAAATTATCTCATTATCAGTGAGTCCTAACGAGCAATAATGCTTTCTCTTTTTCGGCAAGAATTGCCCATCTGGATTCGAAGGAATCTGCTGATGATCGAAATAATTCATGAGCCTATCTTAGAAGAAATGGATAATTTAGTGGAATTGACTCCTTTTCCCTCCGGAAGAATAATCTTAGTAGTGTTTCGATCGATGAATTAATAAGATGTTGATTTCCTTGCACTCTGCGTTCATTAGCAAACTCGAGGGAAGAGTGAGAATTCTTGTTTGAAGAAAAAACAAGTTGTCACACACATACACACAGATATGACCCTAAAAACATCCTTTTCTCACGTTTCATAATATTTTAGACCATTTGCCATCAAAATTAGAAAATCGAAAAATCCCTCAAAGGCAGTATTCAAATATTACGTCACGCGTTTTTTGGACATTTTAGACCCCCTCCTCCCTCCGTCACAAATAGTCGCAAGCGTGAACTCCCCCCCCCCTTGTATATTACGTCACGAAATTAACGACCCCCTCTCTACTTTATATAGAGAATAATTTTGTATTCATTTTTTTAGCGTAAAAAAAATCACATGAATAATCAATTCGTTCTTCGATACTTTCTGAATATATCAACTGATTATCACAGCATTCAAAAAATAATTTCTGTTTGCGAATCGTTGGGATACTTGGGAGAAAAAAAATTCTTCAAATAATTAGTCGCGTGAGAAAATCAAATGAATTTTCACTAAAATAAGTGAAGGATCATTTGAAAACCCCAGTATGAACAGATATTGTTGATCAATGAATGCTTCATCGCTCCATTCTTCATCTTCGTCGTCTTCAATATTACATGTGACTGCCAAAAGTTCCCTTTGACGGTTGACCGCAATTCGCACAGAACGCACATTTGGAATAACTGCCATCACCCCAACAAACCTCACATTACACAATAATTTTCCATTCTACTGAAATCTCATCGATACTTCCAGGCATAAAAAAAAGTTGGTAAAAAAAAATATTCAATTGAAAAAATTTTTTTGCTTAAATTGCGTCAAACAGTTATTTTTCGACACTCTCTCTTATATTTTTAACTCTTTTCTTGTTTCATTAGGTGTGATCTTTTATTCAACTCAATACTGACAATGCCTCTGAAGAGGTCTCCACATAGGAAGCCGAAATACTGAACTACTTTTTGAGGGAATTTTTGGGGTTTTTCTTCCAATAAGAATTCCTAGTCCTTAGAGTCTTCCAACGACCACCGATGCTAACAACCTCAAGATCTCATCTAAAAGCAATATAAAATACATCAATATAATGACACTTAATGAAAGATATCGAATACTGGACAATTCACTCCGTTTCAATCGTTTTAATTTTTAATGTTCCATTTTCAGGAGCTGCAGCCGAATCCATTATGCCCCACACCAACGCCGAAATTTCGGCGATCCTTCTTATGGGCCACCGACTACCTACCAACTGAAATATTCTCTCCAATAGTAGAAACAGTTCTCAACAACTGTGAAAGAGAGGACATGTACGCATTACTCTTCGAAGAAGCACTTACCCCAAAGTTCCCCGAGAGGACCGAACACGTCCCTCGGATAATCCAAGTCGCCTGGTCCCCAGTAAAACTCGTGGAACCCACCAAATGTCTCCTCGCGACAGTCTCCTCAGCAGGTGCCATCGACATGGCTTTCAAAGTGGGAATAAACTGGTACTCAGTCTCCAACCTCTCACAGATCTGGTTTGAAATCATCAAAGAAGAAATGGCCTTCGACGTAGAGACCTGCACGCCCGAGGAAATTCAGGCTGACACCTTTAAATCCAACTTGAGACGTCTGCAAGGTACTTCAGTAACATGGAGTGGCCTCTCCAAAGATTCTGAAGGCACCTTCTCCTACCTGGCAACAGGCTATCGCAGCTCTGAACTCGTCGTCTGGAGAATAAGCAAAATCTCCGAGCTCTCCATAAATGTGACCCCAACAATGATCTACAGAACGAAATTCAAGGACCATGGAAGGATTTCAAAACTAATCTGGATGAGCCTGAAACCTCAAAGACACTTAATCCTCGTGGGATTCTTCGATGGACGAATGCTCGGTGTCCAATTAATCGAAGATAACAACCAATTGACTGAAAATTTCATTAAAAACTATGAAGAATATCCTGACAGAATCCCTATAAACTTCATCACCACAAGAACAAAAACAACTAGAGGAAATATAATTGGAATTGCAAAGAATATTCACTTCATCCTAATTGAGATCAACGATGAAGGAGAAGTCGAAGAGAAAAAGCACGTGCAGTTGCCAGGATTCTCCATCTCAAGTATTTTACTCTTAAACGACTCAGAGGCAATGATATCCACCCAGGACAGCGGCCTCCACCACATAAAATTGGACTCCACTCCAATGGAAAAAACTGCGATAACCCACGACATGAAATGTGTGAAAACTCAGTACCTGGGAATGGCACGATCCCCCAGTGGTGCGACTTTCGTCAACGTCACGAGCCCCAGCACAACCTATGACCACTTGTGCAACCGAGAGCCCAGTAATCTCCAGTTTTTCACACTGAAATCCCCAGAGTTCGACCCCTGGTGTAGACTGGAGAAAAGCCAATCGAACCTCCATGTCTACTGGGATTGTCTCGAAATGATAAGGATAAGGTCAGCAAAGGCAACAGATGGTGAGGACCTCTTCCCCAAAATCCCACAGGAGCTCGACCACTCGTTATCGACCCACCAGCTACGAGTGATAATGTGGCTGACGTTGATAACAGAGGTTGTTAAAAAGAAAAAATTCATTAAGAAAATTGATAATGTGGTTGGAGAGATTTCTGAGGCCCAACCCCTGATTTTCGTCCACACAATCTCCAACCATATGATTAAATTGGCGAGGAAGAAGGTGCTGAGTGATAATCATCGTCTGAGTATTCATTTTTTGAGGCTTTATCTGGAGGTTTTCCTCGCTGGAGAGGAGGACGAGAGCAATCAGAATAGTCACGCGATAAGACATGCTAAGGAGGCGATGAATGCAACGTCCAAAGTGGATCTGATTGAGGCTGAACCTTGTAATTTGTGTGGGGAAATCGTTACTGAACTTCCCTGGAACACTTCGAGCTGTCCCAGGGGCCATCAGCTGCCTCGTTGTGCTCTTACACTTCTGCAGATCACTTCGTTGAAGTACAAGAGTTGTCCGGTTTGTGGGAGGATTTTTCATCCTCTGTTGGATGAGGAGTACGAGGAGATGAAGTGTCTCTACTGTGATGTTCCTGTGGTGTTTGATACCAGGGTTGTTGGAATTTATGATGAGGTTGAGGAGAAGGGGAAGAATCTGTCGGTGAAACCTATCTGGGATATACCGATTTATAAGAGGTTCGAGGGGGAGGGAGGGGAGAAGGAAAAGGGTAATGAGGGCAGGGAGGAGGGTGTTGAGGGAGGTGAGGGTAAGGCAGAGAGAGCTGTGGGCAAGAGGGAGAGCAGTGCACGTAAGCGCAAGAGGAAGCGGATGAAGTCGCCGACGCTCGATGCTGTTAACGACACAAACAATGGGATTTTGACAGAGACTGGGGCAAATGTAAATTTGTGAATAAAGTTTTGTGTTTGTTGATAAATTTGCATTGTTCAGTGATTTTTTTATTACTGTAATGTAGTGGTAATATGTTGAGAGAAAATGAAATATTTTTTTGCTAGTGCGACCGCATTTTTTCATGTGGCAATGTACTCGCAGATAACAGATGCTAGGAAATTCTGGAATATGTTAACTGTAATAAATCTGTTGGCTATTCTTCGGCCGCGGTTCACGCAAAAATGATTTTGTGGATTGAGTGGATTTCAATGGTATTTTTACATAGTTTAGGGTCCCCAATATGGCTTTAGGCTATAAGTTGTTGTGCTACAATGGATCGTTTCGTATGCCCCGTACAAATTTTTAGTCTTCTGGAAAATTCTAGAATATTCTCAAGTTTCGGAGAATATTTTTGAGATTTCTACAAAGATTGAGGAGATTCTCGGGTTTTATAGAAAGTTCGGGAAAATCTTTTGGTTTTAGAGAAAATTCCAGGAAATTCTCGGGTATTCTAAACAATTCGAGAAAATTTTCAGTTTGGGTGTAGGAAAGTTTCTCCGATGGCAAAATTCTCCGGTGGTAAAAATCTCCGAAATGAGACAAAAAGTAACGGTCGTATGCCTTCTGTCGAATATAGGCTTGAACCCCTGCTTGTCTTTAATGGCAGGAATTCTCGAAAATCCAGGTATTCAATTTTCTCTTATTTTGCCCGGGCGAAGCTGGGCCACGCAGCTAGTTCTGAGATAACGTTGAAGCACCTAGGGGGTACATTAATCATCGAAAGGTCTCGGAAGTTCGGCAGTTAGTTGAGAAGTTCTCATAATTTTTTAAAGTGTTCCAGAATGATTTGAAATGTGATAGAAAGAATTATTGACATGTGAAAAAGCTTCTGCACAGGTCCTAGATCTTTCTACATTTTTGCAGAACTTCTTCATAATTTTTAAGGAAATCGAATTAGTCTAATGTTTAACACCGTCAAATCGGTGAAAATCTATTACATTTTTTATGGGACTTCATTCTTCTCCACCATCTTGAGACAATTACCGAACATGTGATGATAGAAAAACAAATACCGACGTCGGTGGCCGAGTGGATTAGACGCAAGTCTAGTGTGTGAAAGGTTGTGAGTTCCATTCCCCGTGGAACCGAATTTTTCAACGGAAGACTCCGGCGAGCGGGGAGGTTGCTAATAGAGGGAACCGCCTGTACCGGCATGGATTTTCTGTGGTTTCTCCATGCTACTGCTATGTTCTATAGGAGTACGAATGCGGTACAGTGTAGAATCCACAGCCGCATGCATAGGGTTGGATAGAGTGCCGAATGGGACCCAAAAAGGGACTCCGAGGCTGTAAAAAAAAAAAAAAAA